AAAAAGAAAAGAAAAAAGAAAGAAAAAAATGGAAAACGGGCTAATCATCACGGAGAGAGCAGTTTGTGTTGGCAGAATTTACTGCTGGACTTTCATGTCCTCTGTTTGGAGGAAGGGAAAAGAGGCAGGGAACCTTATATATCACGTCTATTCTGCATGGCTTGATTTAGCCACACTATTTTAGTATACCATTATTTTTTCTTCTTTTACATTTTCAAGCATGGTGGGCAGTTGTCCCAATCCTGACTGGCCATTTTATTAAGTACTATGTCTATGTTCTTCTTAATCTATTAATCTCTTCTGTGTGGACTGTGTCTCAATGTATCCTGGGGAGAATACTGCTGCAGGAATGGAGAAAGCATAGATAAGGAGATAAGAGCTGGGCTCAGGTGAAGGCCTGTCTGCTCCTTGGGCAAAGGACCTAACAATAACAGTAGGAGTGTTTACTTATACATTTGTAAAGTTAGTATCACAAGACACAAGATTGTCTAGCAACTAATGACCGAAATTGTCCAGACAGAATGCTTTTCTCAAAGACTGAGGTAGCTTGACTGGTTTGGACACTGTGGCCTTGTCCTGCCCACACACATATGACTGATTACCAGCTTTAGCTGCTCCCAACATTTATGTCAGATTGATTTTGGTTTCAGGGTATATGTTCTCCCCTCTCACCCAATTACCTGTGCTTTAGTTAAATTTCTCTGAGTAGCTCTGAATGAAGCTCTTCCCCTATTCGGCCATGTTGTTTCTCACCTACCATATCTTTTTTATCCATTCCTCAGTTGATGGCACTTGGATTGTTTCCAAGATTTAGCTGCTCTTTCCAGGACTGTACTGCTATAAACATGGGTAGACATATATCACTGTGGTATGACAATTTTAATATTGAGAAGATGCCCAGAAGATGAATAGGGTGAAATGGAACCAACGATCTTAGTTTTTTTGAGGAAATTTCAAACTGATTTCCACGTGGTCAAACCAGTGTATATTCTCACTAACAGTGGACAAGAGTTCCTTCCCCCTCTATCACCTTCAGCATGTATGGTTGGTTGATTTCTTGATAGCCATTCTTTCTGGGGCAAGATGGAATCTCAGTTTCCTTTAATTTGCATGTCTTTTTTTTTTTTTTTTTTTCCTGGAACCAGGGATTGAACTCAGGCCTTTGCTCTTGCAGGGAAGTGCTTATTCCACAGAGCCATGTTCCCGGCCCCTTGCATGTCTTAACTGACCAATAATGTTTAACATTTTTTCATATATTTGTTTGCCGTTTGTAGTTCTTTGTTTGATAAGTGTGTATTCAGATCAGATGCCCATTTTTGGGTTGGGTCTCTGAATTTGAGGAATGTGATTAATTTTAATTTTTTTATATGTTCTACATATAAATGCTTGGTTGAAGGACTGTTGGCTAAAATTTGTTTTCCCTCTGTGGATTGTCTTTTCACTCTTGGTGATTTGTTTTAGTGTGAAAATTTTTAATAAGATAGTATCAAAGTTGTTGATTCTTTGAAGTATCTTCCATGCAGTTTGAGTTTTGTTCATGAACTCCCTGCCTATGTCTGTGTCTTTAAGACCTGTTTCTCTTCCAGTAGATTTATTGTTTCTATATTATTATTTAGATCTTTGATCTGTTTTGACTTCAATTTAGTGCATGGTGATAGCCATGGTGATGGCCTTCAGCCTGTGTAAAGCCAGTTTTTACAGCACTATTTATTAAAGGGGCTATCTTTCTTCCAATGAACATGTTAGACCTG